TAACCATATAATAATCTTGATAATATCAAATGATTGTTGATTATAGTAATTATTATAAATGTGTATATTTTTGTGCTCCAGCTATTTTCTGTTAACAACTGCATTGAAGACTGGCGAATTGCGACAAACTCGCGCCGTATAACTCAAATGCTGATCGAGGTATTTATTTGCATCATCCATCCTCCTCCAATCAATTATTCACTTGTATGGCCAATATATTCCAAGAATCCGACATTTCATCGTACTGTCAGCACTCCTGTGACCACAGACATATCTAAAAAGTATTCACAAAATCCTATTTTATCTGCTATTAATAATAAGAAATCAGAACTTTCACCGGTAAACCAGACTAAATTAATCCACAGTACACTATCATTGTCGTCACCAAAGCCAAATCCACTTCATCTGTCTACTTCAGTAAAACTATCCTCTCCATCATCATTCATGAACACAGCAAAACGTGGTAAGCAAACGAGGGCTGTTCGTTCTTCTTTCCTAAATCAATCATCAGATTTTACACTCTCCAAAGCAGAAATGCAAAAGGATGGCGGTATTCTAGCCCTTAGATTATCATCTAACCCTGAAATTTCAGTCGGTCATATTCCTACCCTTCCCTCATTGCTATATTCCAGCGTATTAAACTCTTCTGTGCCGAACACCGCACTTGTTGGTCTTTCTACTCCATCATCAGTGCCTGATATTGCAACTCCCTCCTCCTCTCCACCAAATTCCTCCCTCTCAATCCCATCCCCCGGTTCTTCAACTATATTAACTCATGACAATGGAAGCAGTCCAAATCCTCTATCTAGCCTTGCCACTGCCATGGTAATACTAGCTTCTGCCTCTTCGCATCGCTCTATAAATTCATCCTGGAGTTTCAGGAATTCGTCAAATGATGTCTCAGTAGGGAGCCTATTATTAGAACATTCAAGACGTGTTAAACGGGAATTTGTAGAATTTAATGATACCAACAATGATAAGGAGCATATAGCAAATGGACAAATAGGACGTGAAACTATCGTAAACGCTGTTTACACTTCCGAGACTCCAGTGAGCTCTGAGTTTGGTGGAACTATCATGTACGGCAATCGAAATCGTTTTAATCACTTAGATGATGACGATGGGATCACTACCCATGTAATCTCTATGGATATAGTGTTTGGAATTCCAATGTTCTTTCGTCTTTATCTTATCTTCCGTGTGCTACTACTACATTCACGAATGCTTACCGATGCCAGCTCAAGAAGTATAGGAGCACTAAACAGAGTTCAATTTAATGTGAAATTTGTGCTGAAAACATTGATGACTATTTGTCCTGGAACTGTGCTGCTAGTTTTCATCCTATCTTTATGGATAATTGCCAGCTGGGTGATGCGAGTATGTGAAATGTGAGTATAAGCAAATCATTTTTAAATAGAAAAATAATATTAGAAGAATGCTTATTTCGACTATAAAAATAGGGAAAATTTAATTATTAAAAAATGATCTAAACAATATCCTTAAAAATATGACGATAGCAATTTTATTGATATTGTGATAAAATTACAAAAGTCAATTTGTTTTACTTTTAGAAATATAAATATGTGGAGGCAGTAAAAACAAAGGTCATGAGCAGTTAATAATATTAAAAATTAAGGAAATGTTATTAATATATAATTTTCAAATTCCATTTAAATGCAACTTTTCACATTATTTAATTTTTTCAAAGAACTTATTTGTAAATTGTAGTAACCTCAAATTAAATATTTAAAGAATGCACTGATGAGATTACTATAGGCTATTAACATTAACATAAAAGGAAATTTATAATTTATTTATGCAAAGTATTAAAGAAATGAGTAACTATAATTTTCAATATATATTAAGAATTTTGATTTTAGCATGATTTAAAAATATTAGCATTAATTGAATTTTAACGAATTTACAAAGCCAGGAATGTTATTTTACTTTTGGAATTCATTTTATTTTTAATATAAAAAAGCTGCTCAAATACTGGTAGTTTTGCCCAACTAACTATTGTTGATACTAATGAATAAATTCTGGGTTGGCGAATAAAATAATTTATGAATTTATGGCTGGTTGTATCATAAATTCGGAAATCTAAGCGGTATTTATTTGACATTGTGTAGACCAGATATTTGCATAATACTTTAAATAGCGATTGCAAATTAAAGTATTTCTAGAAATCCTTTTATTCATATACTTCATTGAATTTTAGCATTATTTATCGTGCATTGTGACTATTAATTTTTCAAGTATTTCATTAAATTTTGTTAACTAAGGGTGTTTTCATAAATAAAATAAGAGGTTAACTCAAAATGATAGAAGTGTAAACGTAAATTCTTAATTCTTTACTATATTTTAATATATTAACTTATTATAAATTATGACTATTACATTCATATTATATATATATATATATACATAATTATTATTCCTATATTGTACAACGTATGACTAAGAATAAATTAGTTTGTTCTTTGTATTTTACTTGAGTATTTAATGTTTTGATATATTAACAAGTGGTTTGGTTACCAATTTAAACGATTTTTTTATATGAGGGCAAATACTTCTTAAAATTAGACACAATCAAGTTTTTTTACCTGTGATTTATAAAACATAAATTGTTTGATACACTATTTACCATTATGGCTTTTCATATTTACTAAATTCTAGTAAATTTTATTTCAGTCTTTGAATAGTTAATCATTAACTATCAGTGAACTGATCTGTTGAAGATTACAGCTTTTATACTGCTCTTTATTCATATATAGTAATTAAAAACCCTTGAAAAAAAAATCTGCGTGATTGAGTAATTTATTTATATTTAAAACGCTTTTTTAAATTGATCTTAAAATAGACAATTTTATAAATAAATAATAAAATATAATCTATATTTAGCATTTTTATTGTAACTGAGTCATATTTCGCTTTCAGGAATTCAGGTTCCGCCATTGCAAAGTTAAATATAATTTTTTATACTAATTCGATTCTAATATGTTTTAGTTTATCTGTCTTAATAAAAGACTATTTAATTTTAGAAAACATGCTTCACACAGATTAAGCTGATTTATTTCTTTTATTAATATATCTTTATAGCAAGTTAGCTGTATTTATATTTAGCTAGCATAAATATTTATTTTGAATAATTGATACAAATTCAAACTAAGCATTCTAGTAAACTATAGACTATACATAATGCTTTATACTAAAATATATGAAATGCTTGAAGAGGATTTTTGATATAAGAGCATTATTTATCTATCATAACTAAGTCCAGGTGAACTATAATCTGTTAATATTTCTTTTATTTATAATAGTTGTATATAGTTAAACGGCATATCATATTAATCAAACTAAATTTCTAATTTTATGTTAACAGTAAGCTTGTGTCTGATTAATTAAAAAAACCATGCCTCTATAATACCAATTAAAGAAGATTGTTTTTTTTATCTTATGATAGTTATAGTTATTTTATTATACGATTTACAATTTTTGAGTCTAATTTGGGATTTTTATATAAATC